AAAAAAAAAAAAAAAAAAAAGAACCTGAGCTAAGTGGCACTGACAAAGTACTAAAACAGATATCGGAATTCAGGCTTCCACCTAATCATGTTTTGCAAATGAGCTGAAAACAGAACAAGATCACAATGAAAAGTTTAATAAGGTACATAAAATTTAAAAGATTATAAAATGCAAGTCTACTGGAGCCATTGGAAAGGGTTGATATGGTACAAATAGGCTTTAGGAAAAAGCTTGTAACACAGCCATACTGGACACCAAATCAGCATCTTAGGCCACATATCAATTTAGAATAATGAATTTTTAAAAGGAAGAGTTTCTTCTTAGAGTAAAAGCACCTTTAAGTACAATCGACTAGTAAATATGCTTTTGATAAATCAAATAGAAAGTCAATGAAAACAGGTAAGAGATAGAACACCCAGGCACCTAAGGCCTTCAGAAACAAACAAAAAACAAAAAATAGATAATATCAAGTTTAGTCCAAAAGAGTAAACACTTAGGAGCCAGAAGAAAAATGTCTACCTCATTTGGGGCTAAAACCAAGGTTATGACTCAAAAATCTTAGTATAGCATGGTCCAGGTCAGACAAGGCCTAGGAAGATAATGAAGAGAATTCTATTTGCTTAATAGCGTTAATAAATGTCTCTAACGTGAACTAGTCTAAACATCTATCTAACACAAACCCAAAAGAAAGCTGGGGGGACAGGGAGAACTATCAAGGACAAGTACACACTGTCCCCCGACCCGCCAAAAAACAAAAACACCCAATCAAGGTCTTATTTGAGCCTAACACCACTTCGGTGAAACCAAGGGACTGACAATTAATAAGTACCCTCAAGTTATTTGTGGCCTTCTTGCCTATTATTATATTGGCAGTTATAACTGATCAATACCCTTAAGGACTGTATACTTGTTTCTGAAACAGAAGGGTATGCTGAGACTTTGTAATCTGCTTTGCATTGGGTTTGAAAGGAACCAAACACCGGTGAAAAACACAGCAGGAAAGAAAAAGCAGACTCATCCAATTCCTAGGACCAGATAAACAGACCTGGTGTTAAACTATAACCAGGGACTATCCTTTAGCATTTAAAGAGGATCTAATTTCACCCCACAGTTATTCAGGGCCACTTTTATCACACTTATAGACTCAGCTACTAATATAAACTAATATAGTCCTAAAACAGAAAATATATAAGGTCTATAGCTTAGGGTTCAGCATCTTGACTTACCATAACAATTCCACCAACCAAGCTCACTTTTTCCCTGCAAACAAACACCTACCTTGTATGTCTCCCGTGAGAAATCGGACCCTATCTAGTTTCATTTCTCAAGGCCTACTACCAGACCGTATTTTCTCCCTTTGCCCCCAGGATGCCACTCTGAACCTCTACCTCGTACCTGCTACCAACCACCATCCCACTCTCACACCAAACTGGCCTGCTCCACACCTATCAGTCTACAGACTGCCATTTTGCTACACATAACCCCGACACTGACAGGCTGACTGTATGCATATATGGACCTCCACTCAGATTTCGCAGACTAGTGTGCTGCCCACCCAGCCTCATTAAGACTTACTACCTGACTGCTGAGATAGTTTCATCCCTAAATCCTGAGTATGTTCAATTTGTACAGTAGTCAGATATCAAATCCTACAACTAAGCAAGTCTCAGCTCCATCACAATGATCACCTAATTTATCTAAATTTCAATCACATCACATTAGGTTTTATTTGCCCTTTCTTTTCTGAATGTAAACTCTGAAAACTTTTAAATCTTTCACAACTTGCTTCACCAGTTTACCTAGGAAACAGGTCTGTAGCTCTCTGCCCTATTCTTACCCAAATCAAGAATCATTAGGCCGGG